TGTGGTCAATGACATGAGACAAAGTATATGTGAACTGCTGTATGGAAAGTGAATTTGCTCTGTAAATCTTCACCCAAATCACAATAAATAAAATAAAAGAAGGAAGGCCTGTCAGATAAGGCCTGTTTGAGTAGAGATTTGAAGGGGGTACTAGAGTTTGTCAGGCAGGTATCTGGAGAATAGCATTTCAAGGTGAAGACATCCCAAGTGTGAGGTCAGTAGGATGCCTGGAGCATTTGAGGCAGTAGCAACAAAGCAGGTGTGATTAAGAGTGAATAAGCAGGGCAAAGGGGATGGAACACTCAATCAGGCCACTGTACAGATAGGTTTTAGCTTTTCCACTGTGTGAGGTGGAATACCTTTGGGCAGTTTTGTGCATGAGACTTATGTTTTAACAAAAATCATTTTGACTGCTGTGTTGAAAACAGACTCTAGCAGGAAAAGGGTAGAAGTCAAGAGAGCTGGTTTGAGGTTATTGTAGTAGTCTGAGTGAGAGATGAGGTTGCCTGGGACCAAAATGTTAAAGAGTAGAAGGTGAGAAGTAGTTGGATTGTGGATATTGTTCGAAGATAGAGCTGTTGAAATTTTCTAATGGATTGGATATAAATTATGTAAGAGAAAGAGAGGAGTCAAAACTATCACCTAGTCTTTTGGCTTGAGCAACTGGAAGAACATTTACTGTAAGCCATTTACTGAGATGGGGAATAGTTGGAGAGGAACATTGAGGGACCATTGAAGATTAGATGGTCAGTTACAGACATCCTAAATTTGAGATCCTGTTGGACATGCTATACTGAAATTCAGGAAAAAGGTTCAGTCTGTAAGTCTGACACTTGTCATCCATCGATGACATGTGAAACTGGGTAAGATCACCATGGGAACGAAGGAGATAGAAGAAAGAGGCCCCGGGACTGAGCTCTGGGTCACACAATGTTTAGGGATGGAGACATGTGGAGGGCTTGAAAAGAAGTAGCCAGTGAAATAGAAGGAAAAGTAGAAAAATGTAGAATTCCTGAAACCTTGTAAAGGAAATGTTCCAAAGAATAAAGAGTGAAAAGCTGTATTAAATGGTTCTCATTGTGCAGGGGCTGATTACAGATTAATTGCCTTTGTATTTAGTTCATAGAAGTCATTGTGACCTTGATGAGAGCAGTTTTGCTGGGGTGTGCGGACTGTTCCAGAAAAATGAGAGAAATTAGGGACAGCATAGATAGTTTATTCGAAGAGTTTTAGTGTGCAGCAACCTAGAAGTACTACTATGATTTTTAAACAAAACTCTCAGAATGCAGTGCAGCATCTTTATTGTTATGATTCTTTTTGATCAGTTCATCTACTCTTTAATTTTGATCCTTAAGTCTCTGATCATAGTTCAACCTGGGTATGTCTGCAGTGTGCTCACCATGTTACTGCTTTGTAGTCTCACAGAAGTTCCTGATTAAGATGCCAGACCCAGTGCTGATCTTAATGAGTAGGGAACATAAGGTCTGGATAAGGGAGAAGAATGAGGCTAAACTCAGTTCAGTAATAAAGTGACATTTGTCCCACGTCCTGCCTTGCACCGTTAGAGGTACTTTGATTCTAGTTCAACTCTAGAATGAAGATTGGCAATGTTAAGGAAATAAAGCATTTGGCAGAGATTTTAAGTTATAGCACACACATAGCACTCACTGCCATAGAGTCTATTAGACTCATAGCGACCCCTCCTTGGGTTTTCGAGGCAGTATCTCTACGGAAGTAGATTGCCCAGTCTTCCTCATGAGGAGTGGCTGGTAGGTTTGAACCACCAGCCTTCTGGTTAGGTATTTAGTTAAGGACTTGAGTAATTTTTTATTGGGTTGTCTAAGTGACAAACATTTATAGCATGAAGTTACAGCAGAAGCGTTGCTTATTAGGAGGAGAAACTTTGTAGGGTGTTTTTTTTGTTACCTAGTGCCACTGTGATGGGAATATATACCACAAATGGGATGGCTTGAACAAACAGGAGTTTATTCTCTTACAGTTTTGGAGGCTAGAAGTCTGAGTTCAAAGTGCCAGGCTCTTGGGGCTGAGTGAAAGGCCCTTGACCTTGGGCTTTGGCTCTGCCTCTTGCTCCCAGTCCACTGAAGCTAGAGGCATCTCTTCACTCAAGCAGCTGCTGGCTGCTGAGGCTGACAAACCCAAGCTCAACAACTAAAAAGGCATGTTGTTGTTGTTATGTGCCATCGAGTCAACCCCAACTCATAGCGACCCCTCCAAACCACACAGCAGGCCATTGATTCAAGTCCATTAAAAGTCTCAAGATCGGCAGAGCATGGCAGGCTGCCGAACAGCGACTCAGCTACAGGCAGGGTTCAAGCGTGCCAAAAGCTTGAGACCTTCCTCAAAGTTGCTTCTTATATACCAGAACCAGTCCACATCCCTAAAGCAGCTACTCAGCTGCTCCAATAGATTCCACCATGGAGTTAATTACCAATCTCACCATGGGGTATAACTACAACCAGCTGCCAGCCACTCAAAACCAGGCTTAGCCAGGTTGACACACAACTGTAACTACTACAGTGTTAATGTAGTAACTTTGTTAGACAGTGAAGCAATTTTATACTGCATGGTTATTATAAGGATTTTAATTTCAACTTGCTTTTAAGAGTCGATGGTCATAATCAGGTGTTGATGTGCCTATGTTCGATTCTTTTCTTAAGATTGCAACACCTGCCCGATATACCATGACTTTGGGAGGAACATCTTTTACTGTGAAATATTTGCGAAGTCGTGGCTACATGTCAACACCTCCTCCTGTGAAGGAATATCTACAGGACAGGATGGAAGAAACCAAGGAGCTTCTCACAGAGAAAATGGAAGAAACAAAGGATAGACTCACTGAAAAATTACATGAAACCAAAGAAAAAGTTTCTTTTAAGAAAAAAGTGGAATAGGGTGCCTTTAATAATAGGTCATAGAAAATCCATGTACTTTAATCCTATGAAGACTATTGGCAATGATACATTCTCCTGATTGCTTTCTTGGTTAGTTGCCTAAATATACCAGTTCTCTGAGGAATAAAGAACCAACATACCTTTTTAAAGTTAAATATCACTTAAAAAAAAAAAAAAATCAATGTATTTTGAAAGGAAAAAATGATCCTAATGTAAGAATTTCACGTCACTAGCAGCATTAAGCAATGGTAAGAGTTCTTTTTTAAGGTCTTCAGAATCATGCTTGCTACGTGTTCTGTTGCCCCCTGTAATGTATACAAATAAGGTAGATGTTCATCTGGACAGACTGTTCATCCTGTGTATTCATCTTTATGTTATTCAGTACGACTTGAACTATATTCACTTTTCAGTGTGGAGATAAACTATTATCAAACTGCCTTTCTATAAAAACAGTTGCATACTAGTTAAAATATAGATTATATATGTGAAGAAAACTGAATTAAAATGAAGACATATAAATGTAAATGAAAAAAAAGGCCCTTTAAAGTGATTTTTCCTGAAGTTTGTTACAGTCAAATTTTTAAGCAAATATATATGCTTTTTCAAAATTGTGTATTGATAGTGATCACCTAGAACATAAAACTTTATTGTGTCCTCTTTAATCTTTCAGAGGAAAAGTGAAAATTACAATATTTTAAGTTTGTTGATAAAATGAAATATTCTCAAGCAGTGACTCAAGCTTGTGGTTCTAAACTGGATAAAGGTTTGGGAGTCTAGAAGATGGCATCAGGTTGTCATGGAGATTGCTCACACTCCTGGGCATGTATATGGTGCTACCTCTCAGTGTTACGGTTTCAGAGTTAATATTGATTTCGTTATGGAGGACATTTTAAAATAAGAACTTTTTCTTTTTCGCTTAGATTGAAATACCCTTGTTTGAGCATTGCACTTGAATTTTTGGTAGCAAAATATGTGTTAAATTACCTGTTTGGAAGGAAAGGCAGCCATTGTCAAATATGAAAGTTGTCATGATTATGTGAGTGTGTTTGAGCGTGTTTCTTTTTGCTCTAATTTCTGTTCTAACCCAATAATGGTTTGGAAGAAGAAATGGTCTCTTTTTAGATTGGCATTCTTTTCAGTTATCTTGTAAGGCAAGAGAATGTCAGAGATTGCCAGGAACAGTTCTGTCAGGTCACTGCTGTTGGGCATGATTATTGTATCAAATGGAAAATTTAGTTTAAAAGCAAAAATGTTTCATGCTTTATCCTTCTAATAATTATATTGGAAAAGGCTCTCAATTAACATGCTGTGGTTAGAATATTTTCTTTGAAGAGGGTAGGGGGTGGTGATGGTGAGAGCTGCTCTGACAGAAAGACTACTCTTGATCATGCAGATCAGTTTTTTCTCCTGGCACAGAGTTGAATGCACTATTTCAGACTGACTCACATTTTCAAATATAAACTCAGTTAACATGTTTTAGCTTGTTCATTAAGTAATTCAGTTCTACAGATATTAAATGCTAAAATATTAGCAGATTTCTCTTTTTTTCTTAACTACTTGAGACTATGCCTGTGTTTTTTAACACCTTCTGTTATATGGAATTCACCTAAAACAACTTACTTTTATTCTTCACATTTTATGGGTGTATTTTCCAATGGGGTTAAATTATAGGTTCTTAGACATCACTAATAGTCCTGAGATTAGAAATTTCTTTCCTGAGTCCCCATCTTTTGTTCAGTCTACTTGGTGGTCTTGTCAAAAAGCCCAGTTTTGTAATCAGATTGGCTTATTCAATTACAGAGAATAAATGTTGCCTATGAGTGCTTTGGGAACTCTGGTAGCATAGGGGCTAAGATGAGGCATCATGAAAGATGCAGAAATGCTGTTGCTAGCACATTGCTAGCCTAGTCCTTAAGAAAGTTACAAAGATTACAAAGAGCTTATAATATGTTGTTTGGAATATTACTAGCAGACTAATAGAATGTAGTACTATATGTTGTTAAATAAATTAAGTATGTGTGTGTGTGTGTGTGTATATATATATATATAGAAGAAGTTCTGGTGGCGTAGTGCCTAAGGCATTTGACTGATAACCAGAAGGCTAGCGGTTCAAACCCACCAGCCTTTTAAGGAAGATCGGGCAGTCTACTTACATAGTAATTGGGAGCTCTGGTAGCATAGTGGCTAAGACACTTGCCTGCTAACCAGACGGCTGGCAGTTCAAACCCACCAGCCACTCCTCGG